TCAAAGTTTGATGCAAAAACGCATGATCGCACCGGCTCGCCTGGTGCGTTCCAGCCTGGGTTAAAGCTGACTATAAGTATAATTAGCTATGGTTTGAATTTATTAGGCTTATTTCTGGAGAATTTCGTTCGGTTAAATGATTTTTTTTTGAAGTAAGCTAGACGAGAACAAGGTGTCAGCATGACGTGTTCTTGATATGCATTAAATCTTGTTCCTCAAACAGTTGTGTAAGCATCTAGAGTATAAGGACTTCCAGTAGAGATAGGATTCTCATTCGTAGTCCTGAAAATACAGCAAAGCTCACTCTCGTTTCATAATTGCTTCTTGTTCTTCGGTCAGCGTCAAATCACTGCCCACCAGTTCACGTGTCCGTTTTCGTTGTTTATAATATTCGGTTGGGGACTCAAAGTACGATCCGGGCACCCAACCGGATTTTGGTGGACGTGCCTATAAAATGGGAAAAGTAATTTTTGGAAAAAAAGATGAAAATTTACATAATCTATGAACTTGTAAAAGGAATTGTAAGTTTTTTGTTTTAATTAAAGTTTATTTTATTTATTAAGCTCGAATTTTTGTCTGACCTTTGTTCTTATAAGCCATGAAGCAGCATTTTTCTTGTCTAAAACTTCAACAATTTGTCCTTGCTCAAGAGCAACAGATTCCGTATCACCGGGTTCAGGATTATAATCCTGTGTAGCAATGTATACTGGCAGCGATCTAGTTTCCGAAGCCTGAAAAATATTTCAACTTCAAATTGTTATTGTTTTGAAACTCCTGAATTTGAAAAAGGTCCGTAATGCAGTACTTAACAGATCACGATTCGAAGAATACGGAAATAGTGAAATAGTGGAGTAAAGGGAACTGGACTAAGTGTAACGTGGGAGAAGACATGTTAGGATACAGTCGGCGTTTCATCTTTTAGCTGCAAACACAGACTGAACTTTGCATGCAGATAGAAGTGGAAATCGTCAGTACACAGCCTAGCTGTGTTATGGGAAAAATGAGAAAGTAAGTCGGATTTTTTTTTTTATAGCAGAGTCTTTTATAGTAGAGGAACTTAGACGCAATAATAATGCTGAAACTTGAAAAATTTGATGTAAAGTCGTCTTTAAAGATTTTCACAAGAAGCTATACCAAACTCTTGGAAATAAATTTTTGTACCGTAACAATTTCGGATGATGAGCTTCGACCACGTTCGCCGCTTCTTGACGTAATTGATTCGGAACGATAAGCTGATCGGGATGTATGGGCGGCATAGTTGACATCTTCAGTTGCTGTGTATTTTCTGGAAGATCAGACCAATAGTTCATAAAAAATTATGACCGCAACTCAGCACCCCGCTAAATGCAAATAGTAAGGCGCCTTTCATTTCTGGTACCATCTGAGCATTATGATACCTGGTTATGTGGCAAGAATGAGAGACAACAGAAATGGAGATTGTGAATCCTGATCATCTCTTGAATACGACATTTTGTTTAAAAATTCATAAAAAGCTTACGCCCAGTTGCTTAAATAAGAATAGGCTTAAATAAGAATAATTCACACACCCAGCAAAACTGTTTTGTAAATTACGAGCGAAAATAGCCGCTGCCTATAGTAGCGATTTCTTTTTCTAGCACCAAATTTGCTCAATGTGATAATTACCAAAAGTTTATTTCGAAAATTACTTTTTTTTTAGTACCGGCCAATTGATGCCAGTTGCATAAACGGCAGAAGGGACTCAACGATCAAAAAAAAAAAAAAAACGGCTGGTCAAAGTATCAAATTAATGCTTAATGTTTTTATTGCTATGTTTTTTGCTCAGTAAAAAAGTTACTTGTTTTTATGACGAAGTTTATTGCCCCTGTTATTATTATTGTTATTATTTTTATTGCTATTTTTATTATCATTTTTTTCGACGTTATTATTATTGTTATTGGTAGTATTGTTATTACTTTTGCAAATAATAATTTTCAGTGGTTCAGCAATAAACGCTTTTTTGGTGCATTTATTGCAGCTGAAAGCAAGTACCCTTTGGTCATTTCACAACAAAGCGCCTCAGTGATCAAATTTCTGGTCCTCTTCGGCTTTTTCTGTAGCTAAATTTTACGCTTGATGGCGATACTTTCTGAAGTTTTTGCTTCGTAAGGGCAGTTTCTGCTCATTTTAAGGTTGTTAAAGG